TTTTACATCTCTATAGTTTAGCGGCATTCCATGGCAACATTTTGATCCAAGTCGAGTTTTCTTCAGAATTGAACGCTCTTCAAAAGTGCCTATTGCAGCCAAGTTGTAACTCTTACGGGGGAGGTAGTACGGGCCGCCAAACCTGATTTTTCCATTAAATTCGTTTGTATAAAAAAAAAGGTGGGATAATAAAAAAAATCGTACGTAGTTTGCAAGATACTGCTACTGTGAAGCAACAGTCTCAAAAAAATCGCAAGATACCTGCTATAGTCTCCGACTATAAAAGTTCTCTGTATTGAAAAATACAATTTCGCCTTTAAAGTTTTACGTGCTGAAGCGGGCTAATCCGAATGCTTCGTCACTACAGCAGATTGGGCCGGAAATTGTTTTGTTCACTATTTTACTGATTTAATAATGTTTTTATGACCCCAAACTACACTTTCAACCAATAAATAACATTTTATAGATTTTTTTTGCAAATACTAAACCTCTTAACCTAACTTAACATACAATCTACAATATTATATCCACAATTAGCTCGTGTTTACAACTTTTTACACAGCAGAGCTCGTAATTAACCGCTCATAAAAGCAAAATGTTGCAAATATCGAAGCGAACATGTCCTCACACTTGCAAATTGTATGTATGTATGTGTGAAAGTACACGCACAGCTAACACCTGCGATACATACTCATGTACACAAACATACAAACTTTCATAGAAAGACATATGTATTGTACAATAAAGAAATTACGAAATCGCGTTAAAATTAGGTTACCAAGTAAGTAAGCGACTTTACTGCTTATTATTATGACCGTTATTGGGCCGCTAGTTGTTGCGATTTTTCATACACACACACACCTACATAAGCGTGAATTCGCCTAGCGGGTAATTTGACTTTTTAATTGATAGATCCAGTTTGTTATGTTCGCCTGTCAACGCTGGCTTATTTTGGCCACAATCGCCTAACTAACGGTACACGAGCATAAGTGGTGGCGCGCTTGGACTTTGTGAATGGAAGACTTGTGTCAGCGCTGCCAATGTGCTCGGTGCGTCCCAGCATCTCGGGCATTACATATTATCAACAGCCAATATGCGCTCATGTCAATACATTAGCTTATGTAATCGCGTTGAGCGTTATGCTACACCATTCCAATCATAAAAACATACAAATGTGAATGTGTGCTTTAGGATGCATATCTCAGGCTTATTAGAAAATTTGATAAAACATTTTTCAAAGCATTTTCAAAAGTAATCAAAGTTGATTTTGATTAAATGGTTGTCAACTAGTTGGTTGATGGAAAAAACTACCAGCACCTTGCCTATTTTTAGCTACCACGCATGTAATTGAAAGCTGGCAAAACCTTTACACAATTTATTCTACCGCGTTGCGTATACGCCACGGTGTGCCGCGCCCAAATGAATGCTGGCGCTTGCACGGCGCTAACACACACACGCACACATTCACACACTTATTGTGCTGATCAAATGACTAAAGACCAAAAATTGTTATTTTAATTACCGCAAAATAAAAATAAAAAATTTTAATCTATAAAAATAATTCTGAAAAAAAATTTAAGCCAAAATTAAAAAAAAAAAAAAATTTGAGAAACTGCGAAAAATCCCCAATGAAAAAAACACAAAAGTTTTGAAATGTAATTTTTCTTGTGTTCCATGAGAACAAGTCTCTGCGGTGTGACTTACGCAGTTCAAGGATATAATGGTCACATTCGTGTAGTCTTGCGATACGCAAATTATGATTTGACGCTCTAGATAGTGTTACAGGCAACTGCAGAATTCGAAAAGTTTTTTTTAGCACAAAATTAATATGTGTAAGCCAATTTACACATCGAACCAATTTATTTTGTAGTTTTTAGAATGTTGCACTTACTTTTTTACACAAGCATTAACCTGTTCTATATATATACATACTTGTATAACATATTTTAAATACATATATAAATATGTACAAAACTTTACTGTGCGTTTTTTCGCACGCCGCCCAAAAGTGATCTACGGTTTGTCATGATCAATTCGACATACAACTGACAGGTGGGACGGCTATCGCGTGGTTTTTTAGTGGCTAATCCTCTGGTTGTTGTAATTGGTCATTTTTCGGTTTCAACAACAAGCGCACAGTAGAGAAAATTGTTAATATAGTGAAAATTGATATATATGATAGAACATTATATTGCTAGTTTCATAGTATCGAAGTATATCAATAGCAATATCTATTCCCATTTTTTATGCTTTGGATATTGCTTATGTCCAAAACTGATCTCCTTATTTTGAAATCAAAAATTTTTTACCAGATATATGAAGTTTGAAATATTTTAGTGATCCTGCTATCGTTTTTAACCAGAATGCTTGGAGTTTTTAAATTTTTATTTACACTTTATCCAGCTGAAAACAAATATCAGGTACTTATTTTCATACTAATTGTTAATAACTGTATTCCAGCTGTAAAGGAAGTCGAAAATTATTATTTTTTGCAAGTCCACTTTTTATTTACTGGGATTTATCATTAAGAGAAAGCTTGTCCTTCTTTTACATTTAAAGAACCACAATGTTTTGAAATGCTGAGAGAATAACCGATATATCACAGAGAAATAGAAGTTAAACGACCCATAAGAAACCACGGAAAACCCATAAATTTTCACTCCATATATTATATGTAAATGAGCATTAAAGACTATCCTGCTTTATTATAGTAAAAATTACATCTTAAGAAATATTTCACCTATATTCAATGCGGAACCTTGACAAGTGATGAAACAAACAAACCGTTGGTATAAATAAATTATTTGCATAATCGAATTGCTGACAGTACAGGTTCGGTTCACCGGCCACGACCGTTTCGGTGGCGAAATTCGACAACCTCCATTATTTTATCGATTTTCGGCAATCGACCTTTCAGAGAAATCGAAGGCCAAATTGAAAAGGATTGGCTGTTGTAGTATTAGGACCATAAACACTATTAAAATTTTCTTCTTTAAAATATGGCGCAATCACAAAACTGTCTGATAAGCTTTTTTAGTATGTAATCTGATCTTTCTAAAATCATATAGCGAATTAAATCAAAAATTAATATGGTAAACCCAAAAATTGTTTAACCAAATAAATCCCTTAGCAAACTATAAAAAAAATGCATCAGCAATTATTAACAAATCGACCAAATATACCCACTGTGCAGCAACTTCATTATCGCCATTGCCATTTTGTTTTCGAATCACCCGCGTCAATCGGTCCGCAGTGAATGCTGCTGTCACAAATCGGATTATTTCTGTCAAGCTTTTGACATGGGTGTGTTGCAGCGGATTTACGCATGCGTGGTAAGTGGGCGTCGATACAGGCAAAGAAAAATTGGTCATTTAATTGCATAGGAGTACATGAAATATTGTATAGTGCAACTTTTAATATTTAATTACATTGCGTTGGTAATTGCAGTAAAAAAATTGCCAAATTCCTTTGAGTTTGCTCAAACGCGTTTATTATTATTTATAGATTTAATTATACAAAATTGCAATAATTGGTCAAAAAATTCAGTTGATAGTCAAGAACTTAATTTTGGTCTAAATCAACATTAAAGATTATGATAGGTGTGTATCTTGATTTTAAGCAAACAAATAAACATAAAATTTGAAAGCCTTCTGCTACCGACTGATAAAGTTGTGAGAAGCTTTTTCATGGTAAAAATGAATTGAGGCCTCCATTTTCTGCCAAGAAGCATAGCAGTCGGTTAATAGAAATACTAATTTTTCTGATATTGGTCAGAAACTGAAATCGAATACAGATGCAGTGAGCCTCTAACAACTACACTACCTTGTTGGCCTCTATTAGATCAATAGAAAAATTAAAATACGGCAGGTACTTCCAAAACTGAGCCAATTAGAGCCCACTTTACGAACCATTCAAATCGAAAAAAGGGAAAACTTTAACTTCGGCTGTATCGCAGCTATTTATTATATAATAGCCTTTATAGATAAATTTCTTATGATATAAAAGGGTATAAAATAATATTTATGTTGATTTTGATTACTCATATTATTATCTCGGATAATAAACCGTGCCAAATTTCGTGAATATATTTGGTCAAAAAAGTTTGCCATGGAAGGACTTGATTTTGATCAATCAGCTTGTATGGCAGCTATATCCCATAGAGCTCCGATATCGGCGATTCCGGCAAATGTGCAGTTTCTTTGTGAGAAAAAGGCGTTTTCAAAATTTCAGATCAAGATTTCAAAAACTGAGGTATTAGTTTGCGTATACATATACAGACATACAAATCAGGTTATGGCAAAATCGACTCAACTCATCACGCTGATTATAAGATTATATAGTCTTCGCCTTATCGAAAATCATTTAGCTCCGAATCAACAGATAAGCTTCATTATTACCTCTTACATTACTTAGTTCTTTAATTAAAGTTTTTTAATGGAACGTTTCTCAGGATATGATCAAATATATAAATATATATAAATACTGACAGTGTCAGATACTTGAACGAGACTTTCTAGGCAATATGGGTGTTGCAATGTAAATATATATATGCTTCGGACTTCCTCAGAAATGACACCGAGTATTGACTTCCTTTAAAGAAAGTAATCACTTCACACATTAAAGCCTGAAAGATGTCTAACTGTGATCATTTAAAAGCAATATCTAGTTTTAAAAGTCTGGACGGCAATTAACAAAATCCTTTCTCCATTTTAGTCTGCGTTTGGCTATTTTAATTTTTTTTTGGTACCTCGAAATCAGTGAGTGTGTTCAAAAGTGAAAATAATATCAATAGCAAAACCTTTTAGAAGATTTTCAGAGGTGTAGAGTCCCTAAATGTTTTCCTACTTAAATTAGGGGTCAACAGATAGGTGGTTTAGATTAAACAACGTGATCATTATGGAACTATTTTTATGACACCGAACAAACAAAATAACAAAGTGTAGAATTAGTAAACATTTATCGAGAAAAACGAAGTTATGTTGAAAAAATATCGTGGTTTTAAAATATTATTCACAAAATACTTATGTATATACTTAATTATTAATAATCTTCACCATCCTCCTCTAAAGAATGCTCATCGGCATCATATTCCTCGTGTTCATCATGTTCGTCGCCATCTTCGTCTGCATCACCTTTCCCCTCATATTCATCCTCATCATCATACGCTTCCACGCGCTTTCCTTTATTCACTTTATGCTCTTCATAATCCTCGGTTTCACCATCCTGCTCGTCCTCATAGTAAACGGTATCATTATTTTGTATAACGGGATGTTGCACCACAAACGGAAAGTATCGTAACGGGGGAGGAGTCGTCGGTGGAGGATTTTGTAAAGGCGTATACGACACTGGCTGATGACCGTGTACCGTTGTGCCAAGGCCGTTCGACGTAACCTCGGCTTGAAACCCGTTCTCGTGATCCGCCGTATATTTGACCACACGCAAATTGCCATCTGGATCCACAACGCTGCTCACAAGGATTTGATTTATTTTTAAGTTTTTGTCCGGTGCGTGTGACAAAAAAAAGAAAGAAGTGAAGGTATAATAAATACCCGTTCTCACGCAAACCAAAATAAATCAATTCAATGCTGATAAACTAGTTAGCTTGCCGAACGCTATGCACCTACCTGTACGAACCCCATACCGCATCGCCGTCGCGAGTCTCTTGACGATTCTGCAATAGACGCGCCTGTGCATCTTCTACGCCATAGGCGAATTCGTAGGCCGGTTTGGCAATAAAGTCCACACGCGCTCCACCACCGCCGCCACCAACACCGACGCCGCTGTCCACCAGCCCATCATGTACGATTATCTTCTGCTCTGGTCCGGTAACCGGACCAGAAAAACGCGTATATGAGTAACCTACTGCCTGACAAACAGATGGCATCGCCGCCAACAACAACACTACAAGTGACAGTGTAGCGAAACACGCAATCGGCGGCAATAGTAGACGCATCTGCAGACGTTGTGGCATCACAACAATGCGGAACTGGAAATTCGACATTTCGCCAAACAAAAACTCCAAATATTTTTGTTGCAATTTGTATTGTTTTTTCTTCAACTTCGGTGTTTGCTGCTGATATTCGTTCATCTTTCTATTGGCATGCGTCGTTGTTGTTGTTGTCTTTTCTGGTGCGTGGCACAGCGCTGCGTTCACAATCGTTGTCGCTCTTTGCATTTCGCAGTGCGAAGTGGAAAAATTTCGATTACTGACACTTTTCGCAGTTTACTTTGCCACATCAATTTCAAGCGCTACTGTTTATTGATAGGCCTTCACTTGTGGTATGTAAATGTAGCTTTGGCTCTTCACAACTTCATGTTAAATTCTGCACTCTTCTGAATGAGGTTCAAGCAAACTAAACGCGCCGTTTCACACTTTTTCCTTATTTATAAGATACGTTTGGTACATTCAGGAAGTTGTGACACTTTTCGTTTTTTTTTTCTGAATTTTATTTCAAATACCGCAAGAAATTTACTAATAATTGAAATCGCATGCCTCGCTGATCAATATTGGAAGCTCAGCTTGCTCATTATTAAACACACTTCCAGTTTCCAAGAAAATAACATGGATACAAGGGGAGTTTGCGGTAAACCGAAGCTCTAAAATTGTCATTCGCTGTGACTAAGTAGGCTGAGAGCACGACTGCCACACGTTTTTTTACGAGTTCAAGTCTCAGTAGGATTATAGAAAAAAATGTGTTATGCTGATTGCTCTTTATAGATATAGATCTCGCATGGCTTATTTAAAATCATCTGCGACAATGATGAACTCATACCAAGTTTTAACGATCGACCACCAAAACAGTTATAATGGTGTGTAAAAGGGTAGGTTTTGCAAAGCATAGCATCAGTCAATAAGCCCTTCATCGTAGATTTTCATCGTCCCATCTTCAAATCATTTACGGTTTATGTCTGTATAGACGAAATTGTCTATAAAGTGATATCTGAACCTGAATACAAATTATTCGTGCTTTTTTGATGACAACAGAAGTTTCATCTTATATTCGTAAACCCAATGAGCTAAGTGTATATATTATAGAGAACATTCGTATAATGCTTTGAACCTACTAAAGGTGTTTTCTGGTGTTTCTTCTCATCTTGAAGTCGGGTGCCAGAAGCAACCATGCAACTATTCGAGCCCCAGCAGAAGTCACGATCAGTCTCAACACCCGACAAGAAGTTCTGTTAAGAAACAAAATTTTTGTATCATCTTTCAAATTTTTTCATAATTACTTTCCACGAACTGAAAATTTAGTGGAAATCACGTTCTCAGTTGCACTCTGGAAGAATAGAAACCACATATAAGCTGACTGATATTTAACGATAGCATGTATATTTTTAAGTATTGTATTTATCATCCAAAATTTAACACAAGTAAATAATTTTTCAGCAAAAGTTTATAAACAAACTGAGCTTCCGTTTAGTCACATTTATTCCAGAAGAATAATAATTTTGCTAACTGTGAAAACTTTGAAGTGATAAACCTTTAAAGTGGAATTTCATTTAACTCTTTATGCACATACCTATGTATGCATATGTATGTATGTATGTGTAATGAGCCCACTATTAATTGTAAGTACATACAATTAAGCTTCGTAGGCGATACACCGAACAACTTTGAACTCCACCGTTTTTTTCCTAATTTAAGTAATACCAACTCTTTAACCCGGTCAGCATGCCGCAAGAGTCTTCAAACGAACGTTGCTGTCATAAAAATAACATAAAAATCAAAATAAAAGAATAAGTATGTATAAAAATATAAATACTGCAAACTGCAATGTCACAAAGGTCACATGCTCACAGTTGAGTGATGATTGTTACTGCCACCATAGCATGTACCTATGTTGATATGGGTAGGCATTAGAATACCCATTAGTGAAAAGCAAAAATAATAAATGATTAGTAGAGCTAAATAGTACCATGGTACCATTTCTTTCAAAGTTAGTCCAAACTAAATATCTATACGGACGGGTTCAAACTGGATAGCCGCGTGGGAGATGATGTACAAGTATTTTCAGCAAATTGGATACCAGAATCGTCTTACGACTACCAAATCACTGCAGTGTCTACTAAGCGAGGAGCTAAGGAGAACAAGGAACGCATTTATAATCATAGATAAGCAAGCGAAATTTATATCACTAAAGTCTCTATGGGATTCATCGAAGATGGTGAAAGAATTTATTGATATATTTGTGTAACTAACTTCGTATTTCACAATAAACCTGCAAAGGGTTCCAGGACATAGTGATATTACAGGTAACTACGAAGCAGATGAACTAGCCAGAACAGGCACTACTTTACAATTAGACTTAGATAAAGAGGGAATACAAGTATATATGCCTTGAGCTACTTATAGACATTAAATCGACAAACATGTTCAATTCCTGACTTGTCTAACAAGCAGATTAACCTGCCATGAATGGAATATGGGCTGCACATAACTGCTATTGAAATTTAAAAGGAATGATACATGAACCCTAGTAGGAGTGCTAACAGGTCACTGTCGTATTGGAAGACACGTCAGCATACTGGGGATACCATACAACGATTACTGTAGAAGCTGCCAAGAGGTAGAAGAAAAAATATTCTCTGCGGATGCAAGGTTTTGTATAGGAATAGAAACGCAGCTACATACCATTCCCGGTTTTTGACAATGTCTCAGTTGATGCATATACGAAGTGAGGTGTGTTCAGAAAATATCGGGTATTAAAAAGCTCACATTTCATTGCTTATTCGTGGATTCTTGGCCAAAAACGATACTGTAACGATTTCCCAGCCTGCATAGTCGCCAGACATGGCTCTAATATAGACGAATGAATATATATATTTTTTTTCAAATAACGAAAACCGATTATTTTTTGAACACACTGAACTTTTCCATTTGATGAACTTTGCCAAAACCATAGGATTTTTCAGAGAGAACATGGTAGTGTGAGAGAATTTAAGTTCCATTGGGTTCACAATGGGCCTCCTATGAGAGGAAAGTAACATTGGGAAAGACTTCTGGACAGTCCAGTTAATGAGATGAGTGCACTCACATTTTGTCAGTCAGTTTTAAAAGTATCATTGGATCCAAATCTGAGCATCAGCGCTTTCATAATACTTCATGAATAAGAAGTAAAAGCAACAGTACTTTTTTATTCTTTTACCACAGTACCACAGTCTATTTCATTTTTTTATTTATATTACTTAAAACTTTTCCCAAAAATTGTTTTCTTCACCTTTGGAAATCTACTTTTTTCCTTGGTATGATGATGGTATGAATTAACTGTTCCAGACAAACAGCGGTTTTTTCTGCTCGATATCCTTTGGTTACTGAAATACCTTTTCAGTTTTTAAACCACTAATAGGGCTTAGTGCTAATCATTTAAAAGATATAACAGAATCAAATATCTTATTATAAAAATAGAAATAAATAGTTAAGGGAACTTAACTATTCTAAACTCATAGCGTGAGTTTTCCGGCAGGTATTCCGGTATTTAACCATTCTTGCACGGCCACCTACTGTAATCGTCGAGGCTGCCGCTTTTGACCTTTTGTATGGTTATTTAAATGCTTCAAAATTTACCGAAATGTTGTGGCAAAATTTGCACCGCCAGCTGTGCGATGTTGTACGCTGAGACCGCACTGCAACATTATCTTACGCAAATTGGTATTTACGGTAGCGCTGTGGGCTGCTGATGAAGCTGTACTTTAAACTGTGGGAACGCACTTTTGCGTTTGGCGATTAACTAAGAGTCGTAGGAGGGGAATATAATTTGCTGTAGATATTACACATTCGTATGCTAGATAGAATGGTTAAACTGGTGGGCGTTTGATAATTTGTGATGTGGTTGGCAATGTGGTCAATTTTGGTAACATGTGAACGATTGAAATACTATGAATATATTTATTTGATTTTCTATACTATATTTATTAATAATATTTCTTAGACTTATTGACTTCAATTGACAAGCGCAATGGCCATATTTGCATTACAAATTCTGACAGCTACACGACAAAGTCATAAATAAATGGCTCGCAAATCAGAAGTCGCTCCAAACTCCTGACTAAGCATAAAAATTATAACAAAATAAAAATTTTAATTAAAAAATCCAATTGCAACTAAGTCTGCTTGCATCACAACCGAAAGAAATGAAATCAACTTGAATTGTTTGTGACACATTACAACTGAACACACGCTGAGCGCGGCAAGATGTCATGCAACAAACGTCGCACCGACATCACGTGGCGCTTACAAGCAACGAGACATATTACCGCACCGAGCTCACTATCCGCTAAGCTGGTAAAAGCCAGTTCTGTATGCCGTGTCACCCAGCTTAGCTAATAGTTATTTAGGTTCCCCATTTTTGCCAACACGAATTGGGTCTTGACGTCCAAAGAATCGCCGACAAGCATTACAATTCCGCCAACATCTATGTGTGGCATCTAGCAAATATGCTTGGTCTCCGTGCAATTCATAGAAATTTATTTTGCATTCGATAAATCACAAAGATATACGAAATACTTTGCGCTACGATTATGTAATGCCGCAAGACCACATGCAACACCACGTAGCCACTTACATTTACTTAGCGGCGGTGCTAATGTACGCTTAGCCGGCCAGTCGTCCAGGCAATTGTTTCGAATCTCTTATTCTCCCTTTTGGTTTATGCACCCATTTGCGTCTCAAATTTTCTTACTTTCTGTCAGTCGGTCAGACAAACTTTGTTGCCTCGTTAGCATGCAACGGCGGCGGCTTGTGGTGGCAATGATCGTCACAGGCACAGTGGTGTGTTGTTGGGAGGAGTTTACATAAAATGCAAGTGACCTACTTTTGACTGAGCAAAAGTGTTAGAACAATGTATTTCATTATTGTGGACGTCTGGCTCTATTTAAGCTCATCAAATCGTTTTATCCGAAACGAGCCTTCTTTTGCGAACTATCTAAACTTCTAAAGTATCGCAAGCTATAAAATTCATCATGTGTTCGACATATCTAGGCATCGATCTGGGTTTCAAGCTTTATTAAGAATGGGACTACAAATAAGTTTTTCGTTTCCATGATAGTTGGGCTTACGCAACCGGAACAGACCTAAATTTTTATTAAGCCAAGGACTCGGAGGCATTCCTCAAAATTAGTTGGATATATATAGAGATTCCGAGTGGTGAAGCTTGAGGATATGCTAAAAGTCCACTGCATTCAAAAGAACCAGCAGACAAAGGTTTAAACTAAACTGGACTGGAAGTTTTGCAATGTCAAATAAAGGAACGGCCGTATAGCCCGCTAGGGGTAAGAAACAATATCAAAACCCGCATATGAAACTCAGCAGAATTCGAA